ACAGGTACGAGGGTGAGGCCAGCTCCCTGAAGGGAGGAGGAGAGGGAACAGCTGGGCCCACACCCCTTCGCTCCTGAGCAGCTGGGCTCGTTCGTGGTCTGCAGGCTGTCCCCAGGGAGGCGGGACTTTGGACGGCCCTCCCTTCCCAGACCAAAACAAAGAGTTTATACTCGGGACCTAGACCAGGGCCTGGTGCTGGCTTCCGTCCTGGACGTGCCTGTCTCCGAAAGGAAGCCGGGGCGGGGAACGCTGGGGCTGGGACTGCTTCCGGGGCAGGCTTCCTTGGGGGTCCTACACGACCCAGAGCAGGCCCCGTCTGAGGCAGGATGTCAAGCCAAAGCCACCCTCTGCAGGCAGGTGGGAAAGTGGCCCCAGGCTCCCACCCTCTGCCCTGCAGCGCCCTCTACTGCTGCAAAGGGGCAGGCACACCCGAGCTGCCAAGGAAGGAAGGGAAGTGGCAGGAGCCAACCTGAGAGGGAAGGGGAGCAACACAGACTGGGACCATTTCTTCTTAAAGAAAGAAAGTTGTGCCGAAGCCGGTTTGGCTCGGTGGTAGAGCGTCGGTCTGTGGACTGAAAGGTCCCAGGTTCGATTCTGGTCAAGGGCCTGTACATTGGTTGCGGGCACATCCCTGGTGGGGGGTGTGTGCAGGAGGCAGCTGGTCGATGTTTCTCTCTCATCGACATTTCTAGCTCTCTATCTCTCAGCCTTCCTCCTCTCAGTGAAATATCAAAATATATTTTTTTAAAAAAAGTTGTGAGGAGGCCCCGGGACAAGGACCCTGCCTCACCCTCCCTCTTTTCCCCACAGGTGCAGGTCCTCCTCTATTACCTGCAGCACCCCCCCATCTCCTTCGCAGAACTGAAGCGGAACACACTGTACTTCTCCACGGATGTGTAGCCCCAGGTGGGAGCTGTGGGGGGCGGCCGAGCCGGCCTCTCTAGCCGGCGACCGGCACAGACTTGAAAGACTACGATAGGAAACTCCCAAACCCAGCACTCCAGACTCCAAGGGACGCAGGGTTCCGAGAACTGGAACGTGTGCATCTTTTGTGCCACCTTGTACAAAGCCAGCCGACCCGGCCCCCGCCTCGCCACCCCGCCCCGGGCTCCCGCCCTCTGGACCTCTAGTGCGTCTCCGGCTCCACGCCGTTTGGGGGTTGTCTTATGTCCGTTTGTCACGCAGAGAAGGTAGGGACGGACCCCGTATGGGCACAGAGACGGCCTGCTTTGTCCTTTCATTTCCTCCAACACTTTCTCTCCTCCCGAGTCCGGTCCAAGGGCTTTCGTTGGGCGCCCCATAACTGCTGCCAGCTTGTCCTCGCTTGGCCCCGCTCCCAGATGGCAGTCTCCTGGCAGCCTTCCTCGGTGTCCACGCTCCCCCGCCCAGCCTGCCGCGTGCATGTGCAGCCTTGGTTTCCGCTCCACCGCCTGGGAGGGTCCGAGGCGGCCCTGGGGGGCGGTGGCCACGGGGGCCTCAGTGCTGCCGCGTGCTGCCCCCGCCCGGCCCCCTCCTTGCCCTCCACCCGTGGAAGCACCCCCGCTTTGCCTTGCTGCCTGTGCAAATGTTGGACAAGGAGACAAACTCACAGTAACCCTCGGCTTAGCAGAGCTGGAGAGCGGATTTCTGGAATTTCCCACCCGAGGACCATTTCTGGGTTCTATCTGTTCTGTCTCTTGTCTACCGGTGAGGCATCTTGACTGTTTCTTCTTCTGCTTTTTGGTTCCTTTCCCCCTGGTGGCCTATTTCCTTTGAGCGTAGACTCGTCAGTGACCTGCTATGGAGATGGCCGGAGGGCCCGGGGAGAATCGGGAGGTGGGAGAGGCAGGGCTCCGGGTGCACGCTCTGAGAGTGCGCGGCGCAGGTGTCCCGGGCGGGGAGGCGGCTGTCCGCAGCAGGCGTCGCCGAGGCTTTCCTGGTGAAGCCGGGCCTCCGGGAGGGCCACTGGTGTGGCTGAAGCAGGCGTCCAGACCAGCCCCTCCTGGTGCCCCGTGTACCTCGTGGTACCTTTGCCTTAGACTTTACATCCTCCACAGCCAAGCACTGCCACGGGGTAGCCCACGGCCACGGCCACAGGTGCTGCAGGGCCTGGGAAAGGCAGGCAGTCCACGCAGGCAGCCGTCACGGCGCAGCCTCCCAACCCCGACTCCCGGGTGCAGCCTTCCGGTGAGCGTTGGGAAACCCCAGAGTCAGGGAAGGAGGAGGAGTTGCAGGCGCCTGTCTCTCCTGGGATTGGGTTGGGCCGGAGACCCTCACTGTTGCTGCTCCATCGAGTCCCGGATCGGCAGGTCCCATTCCCAGCTCTGAGACCCACTGCTCAGGCCTGGAACGGAGCGCGTGGACCTGTTCCCTCCCGTGGGAGCTTTGGTGGTCAGCCCGGCTGGGCAGACGCCCCAGCCGCAGGGCGCGAGGGGCACACGAGCTCCCCCGCTCTCCTCCGGCAGAGCGGAGCCCGGGCTCAGGACTGCAGAGAACAGCTCCCGCAGCGTGAGCGCAGGGCTGAGTGGTGAAGGAGGGTTTGCTGGCCCTAGAGCTGTGGTGCTCGCTCCGGGAGGAGGGCCCTGTCACTCCGTCGAGGGCAGACGGTACACGTTCTGTGCACGTCGGAGGAAAGAGATGCCCAAGGAGAGGGAATACCATCTAGCTAGCTACCTGTTCGCAGCTTCGTCAGGAGCCCTGCTCCCTGGGACAGGAGAAGGGGAAAGAACTTGAGTCTACAGATCCCAGCGTCGCCCATCTCTGCTTTTGTTTCCAAAGCCATTGATGGTAATGAGTGGAGGCCCGGCTTGAGCCAGTTACAGCCAAAAGTGGGTGCCTCCCACCTCCCAAAGCAAGGGATGTTTACTTCTCAGCATCAGGTAGCTCCTTACTGCAGCCCCCACGCGTGCTTAGGCAGTGTGAGAATGGGAGGAAGGCTAGGAGGGTGAGAAGTGCAAAACGCTCAGAATATTTATAGATTCTACCCTGAGTGGGGAAGGGCAGGTACCAGACCTGGATGACGCCACACCAAGGAAACAGCCCACGGGTTCTGCTGAGGCAGGAACCGTGCAGCCCAGAACCCCATCCTGTGCCCAGCAGGGCAGGCTGTGCCCACAGGCTCAGGTCACAGGCCACAGGAGCCCTAGAAGGCCTGTCCTTGTTGGCAGTGACTATGGGCAGCCGGTTTTTGCCAATACAGGTGGGATGGGACCCTTCATTAATATTTGACTTTAATAAGTGAGTAAGGATATATTTTTTTGTCTATGTTCTGTTTCAACTTCTGTAGATTATTATAAATTGATGTAAACCACGTGAGAGGAAAATGTTAATAAAAAAATGCAAAGTCCCAACATTTGCACACAACTCAGCCCTGTGGTGCGGACATTTGTGTTCTCAGTGGTCCAGGGAAGACCACCCATCTAAATATTTAACTCTTCAGGCTGCGTCCAGATATGAGCTGCGGGAATCTGTTTACCTAGTTACCCTCCTGAGCTGCCCTGTGGACTCTGTGGGGACTGTGGCAGTTGGAGGAGGGGAGCCCAAGCCTTCTCCTTCTCTCCACAAGGCCTCCGGGTCACCCAGCAGCCAGCGAGGAAGTACACATGCCCTGCCAGGAACCTGGCCGTCGGCATCCTCAGGGAGATGGCAGGAACTTGTCCCTTCAAGTGGAGCCTTCCTATTTTGTGTAAACTTTCCTCTCCACTTTCCTTGGATGTGGCTCAGCTTTGGGGCAGCCTCTGGCCTAATCTGCCTGCAAAGAGGCTGGGTCCCCTCGAGAGCCTCCTCCCTTTAGGAGAGCCCGTGGGGTTAATGGAGCTCCCACCAGCCCAAGCCCTTGGACACTTGTTTATTCTGGAGATCGGGAACAGATGTCTCTGAAAATTGTTGTTTGGTTTATGAGGTCATACTGACTCCTCAGCCATCTAAAACAGGAAACTATTCATCTCCTCTCTCGATTGAATAGTCAATGTGGACAATGCTTCGCTTAGTGAACTGATGGCTACTGGCAGCCCAGGGCTCATCTGTTCCAAGCCAGTGGTGAGGGCAGCTTGTCCTGGTCCGGGTGCTCAGTGTATATGACCCCATGCACTAGACTGGTTGGTAGAAGATGCTGGGTCCTAACACTTTGACAGGTGCCAGGCAGGAGTAGTAGCTGCTATTGCTCTCAGAGTGCTTTTAGGTGACACTGAGGGACAATGTAGAAAACAATTCTAAATTAGTGCTTGGACCTCTGAGGACACTCCAGACAGCCTAGCAGCAATGATGCCTCATGCCTGTGAGACTAGACCAGGCATATAGAATTCACCATAGAAGGACATGAGCTCTGTGCACTAACTCACACTCATTCCAAAGGAAATAGCAGACATGGCCAGAAGAAGGTGTTACCAGCTGGGTTTGACAAAATCACTCACATACACACACACACTCGGGATGCCTGGATGTTCCAGCTGAGTCTTTGAATTCTGGTTAAGAGTGGGTGGGCTAGAAGACAGCAGGCAAGGGGAAAGAAAGAAAGAAAAAAAAAAGGCAAAGGAGTTACTGTACTGCAGGAAAAAAGACACAACCACTGGCTAAAGACAGCCAGGATATATGCCCCCAACAAGCCTGCCTGCCCCAAGAGCAAAAGCCTGAACTCATCAGCTTCATTTTGCCACGGAAGCAGCAGAGTAAAGCAGAACCTGGGGCAAATCTTACCTAATAATAGACAAACATATAAAATAGACCGTACCTCCACTACGCCCACAGCCAATCAGAGTGAGTATGCAAATTAGAAAGCCAGAGATGGCGGCTGCCAAGCTGCTCTAGGCGTGGAGTGGCCTGCGGGCAGGATGCCTGCTATGAGAGGGAGCGCAGGGGGCAAAGGGGTCTACAGGAGCGAGTGCCACAGCGAAGACAAGACTGCAGGCTCCGGAGTCTGCGGCAAAGACGACGAAGGCAGACTCTGGCCGGAGGAAAACCGGTGCGGGAAGCCAAGGGAAGGAAGGCCTATTGCATGAACCTCTTCGTGCCACGGGCCTCTGTCCTAATCATAAAAGGCTATTGGTTGTCTAGGATACAAATTACACTGAGCTTTTGTCGTCAGAAAGGGCTACCAAGTCAAGTAAAAAACACTTAATATGTTAAAGCAAAAGAACACATACCAGAGATCAAGGGTGTGGTGAACAACCCCTCGACGATGCCTGCCTTTACCCGGGACCTGCTGTGACTTCATCATCAGAACGGTGAGAGCAGGCTCCTCACGTGTCCTGGAGCCAGGCCGAGTCCAGTGCTCAGAGCACACCAGTGAGTGGCTCAGACCGCAGGCATCCCCGTCAGCCGCCCACAGGAAGGCTTTTAGGGGAGGCCAGTAGGACTTTTAGGACTTGCCCTTGGGGTTTCGATGCATTCTAGGAAGTGGCGAGGCTGGCTTCTTGGATGGAAGGCCCTGGCTGATAGAACAGTCTCAGTGAGGGTAACACAACTACAAACCCTGAAAATCTAGCAATCCCAGACTTCTCAGGAGCTTTCTCCAGGTTTCTCCTTTGAATGTTCAATCTTTGGGACACCTGGCACCATTTTGAGGAATTAAGAAATAAACCATTTAAACTGTAATATAAATACATTTTTTAAACAAGGATAGCAGAATGCTAAACCAAGGGACACAGTGGGTCAGAGGCATACATTTACTGTGCTGCCCTGAGGGGTATGTGGGAGGGATGACTGCATGGAGTTCCGAGGTCAAGCAGCGTCCTGGGTCTGTAAAGTCACCTCCATTCCCACCGCACCAACCAGCCAGGGGGCCACGTGTGGTCAGCACCGAATCTGCAGCTTAATCTCTACAAGTCAACACGCTGACTCCTAATCTGCCGGGAAGAGAGAGGCTGGTGTCCAGGAGCAGAGTGTGGCTGCTCAGAGGCTGGAGGCGTCCAGTGGCCAGGTGACTCCTCACAACACGACTGTCTGAGGGGAAACAACCGTCTTTAGGGTCTGAAGCGAGGGCCCTGGGCGGCGCGGGAATGCCCTCCGAGAGCAGCGCTGGCCTGGGCGGCGGTGTCCGTCCCCGGAGGCAGTCACTCTCACCGTAGGTAATAATCGATTGCAGCAGAGAAAGCAGCAAAACCGCCACAACCAATGACCCCGGCATTTAAGCCAGCTGTAAAGCAAGCAGAAATGGCATTAACTGTGGTGACAATGCGGGGCCGACTGCATTCACAAGACATGTGCACACCCACTGCATACCCACAAGCACGGAGAGCAGCTAAGTGCTGTCATTCACCCTGTCAGAGAACTGTAAGGCTTCAATGAAGCCGGGCACATGATCTAACCCAGTGCTTTCGTTACACTGTGCCTTCGTTTAACTTTTCTCATTCCAAAGAATTAATATTTCCAGTCTCATGAAAACAGCTCCTCACAGGCAGGAAACTGGTTAAGAAAACCAGCCCTTGGAATCAAGTGAAAGCATATGGCCTGCCCCTGATTTGTTTATGGAGTGAATTCCTGGGAAGGTGATCAAAGCGGTCCTGGAGGGAGCTGAGCTTCCCAAAGGCCTGACAGAACTGAGCGAGGGGAAGACCAAAGGAAGAGTTACCCTCTAAATCATACAGGCTGTTTGAGGAGCAAAAGCAAGTTTTTAATGACAGCATGTCATCCTGCCTCTCGGAAAATGAGGAAAGAGGCTGTTTGCTCTGGGTAAGTCAGGGCACAGCAAACAGAGTGGCCCAGCAATGGACACTGTTAGGAAAGTCAACACTCTTGATGGGAATGCCAACAGGGAGAAGTGGCAGGAAATTGGTTTCTTTCTTTGTTATTTTCAGCTGATAATCCAGCGTTTCTTAAATGCCTATATTTGGCTTCCCATGGGTAGAAATCTAAGAATCCTCAACTGCAGAAAGACATTGCTGTGATAACTTATAAATAAAATTAAAACTGACAATTGTAGAGTATTATTAAGAAAAATGTCTCAATCCTGGAAATGCATGAAGCTGAAAGTTCAGCATGGTATGTGGACAAATGGTCTTTCCATGGCTGAAGGGAACCTAGCTGTGCTTCCGTACTAGCCTGCACATTACCGTCCTCCAGGAATTACTGTGCATTCCAACATGGGGCAGTTCTTTCTCCTAAGATAGATCTAGATCTATCAGTGGTTCTCACCTCGGAGCAATTTGGCCCCTCAGGGGACATTTGACCATGTCTGGAGACACTTTGAGTTCTCACAACTAATAAGTGTTACTAGTAATAATTAATGTCGTTTTTAAACATTCGTTTAAAATCTTGCTTGGCGTTGACTTGTATTGACATAACCTTCAAACACGTGGTATCTACAGAACGTGTGAAGTGCAATTAACAAGTTTTGCTTGAAAAAGTTTGTGTTTGGTTTGGTTTTTGTTGCAAAACTAGGGCTAAGAAGATGGCGGATGAAGAGCATATTCGGCACTGCATGCTTTACGAGTTCCAATTAGGAAGAAAAGCAAGTGAGGCTGCAAAAAACACCTGTAGTGCTCTTGGTCAAGATGCAGTTAGCGCCAGAAAATGCCAGCGTTGGTTTGAGAAATTTTGCGAGGGAAATTTTTCGTTAGATGACAAGAGTGGTTGAGGCCGTGTGTCCAATTTTGATCAAGAAGCTCTTCAAGCTCTTTTGGTGCAAAATCCTCAAATTACCCAACAAGAGCTTGCGACAACTTTAAATTGTTCACAAAAAACAATTTCCAGTCAATTGCGTGCAGTTGGCAAAGTCCAAAAGTTTGGAAAATGGGTTCCTCATGAGTTGACCGACAACAACCGTAATCAAAGAGTCACAATTTGCAGTTCGCTCCTCTCTCGTCAAAACCGTTTGCCGTTTTTAGAGCAACTTGTTACCGGAGATGAAAAATGGGTGCTGTATGTTAATTTGAAAAGGCAGCCTCAATGGTTGGACAAAAATGAGGCTCCACAGCCCACGCCAAAACCTGACTTGCATGCGAAAAAAGTGATGTTGTGTGTTTGGTGGAATTTTAAAGGAATTCTTCATTATGAACTTTTACCATCTAACCAAACCATTACAAGTGCAGTGTATAGTGCCCAATTGGAAAGGTTAGCCCAAGCTTTAAGAAAAAAAGAACCCGCGCTGATTAATCGGAAGGGCGTAATTCTTCACCACAATAACGCACGACCGCATACTGCAAGAATCACTGCTGAAAAACTGCGCCAGTTGGAATGGGAAGTTCTCCCTCAACCTGCATATTCTCCTGATATTGCCCCTTCCGATTACCATTTGTTTCGTTCTTTGCAAAACTTTCTTCTTGGAAAAAAATTCAATAATGAAGAATGCCTCAAAAATGCATTGACCGAATTTTTTGCATCAAAATCACAAGAATTTTACAACAGAGGGATTAAAATGCTTCCTGAGCATTGGGCACAAGTAGTAGAAAACAACGGCAACTATATTGTTGATTAAATTTTGTTGTATTGTTTAAGTAAATTCAATTTAAAAAAGTATTAGAAAACGACATTAATTATTACAAGACCTAATAGCATCTAGTGGTAGAGGCCAGGGATGTGCTAAACATCCTTAAATACATGGACGACCCCCTTCCCCGCAGCAGACTTATCTGGTCCAAACTGTCACTGGTGCCAAGGATAAGAAATCCTGAAATTTTCAAAACTGAGTTGACACATAAGCAAACGTGATTCATTTGTTAGAGGGAAGAATACCAAGTGCCCACATAGGCCTGGGGCTGTCCCTAGAATGCTCATATGTTTAGAAATGTCAACTTCAGCACACTGTCCGAGGCCACAAAGAAAACCCTCGAGACTTGTTTACCAACCTCTGAAACCAATGGCTCCTCCAGTGATGCAGCCACTAATGACACTGTTCTTCCAATCCGATTTCCCCCGGTACTGTGGGCAGAGAAGGGCAGTTTAGAGCCAAAGAAACATGCCAGACAAGACGATGAAGGGAAAACACGGGGTTCCTAGCTGGCTAATTTAGTCCCGCCCCAAGGGAAACCTAAAAGGTTTCCTCTCTTTTTCTTTCAGAAGGATACCTCCTAAAATTTGAATGTGTTCCTAGATGCTTCCTGCAGGTGACACCAGAGCACTGAAACCAAGTACAGCATTATTCAAATCATGTCTCAGGCTCTCTAATAAATCTCATGTTTAAGATCACCAACCAATGGTAAGCCTACTAAAAGAAGTCAAGAATCATGCAAGCCCAATTCATAAATACAAAAAGTTTACAGTAGGGGCTATTTTATGGACATTCAATCTAGCAATTTCTGATCTGCCTTCTAATAACATTAAGAGGCTTTCTCTTTAGAAGTCCTAAGATGACAGGAGACAAAGCTTTCATAGAAGGCAGAGACACTTACAGATTCAACCAAACACTCGGTGCAAGAAAACATGGCGCCCACAATGGCGAAATTTTTGGCGTAGGACATTCCTCGCTGCCCCATGTCTTTCAGAACTTCCTTTGCTGTCGGAGTCCGGTAAGGGTCCTTAGGGTCAAAGCCCACATTGGTATCGATGCCAGCGGTGAACACCCCAAATGCACCTCCCAAGACAAATCCTAAAAACAAGCAGAGATGAGATGTGTTTGGCATGTTTTCTGAATTACTGCAGTGGGTCACATTCCAACAGCACCTTCGGTGGCCACCCATGAAGAGGATACCCACCCCCTTACCCCCCAAACTCGCCACTAGCCTGGCTTCCACACGACACAACCTAGGATCTGTCTTGTTGACAGCTTCCTCTGTATCTCCTCCTGGATTTCTTCCTCATTTCATCTTATCTTTCTCAAGGTTCAGTCTTTACCCTCTGTTCTCTCCCTACACTCTCTCACCTGTAACCAGCCACCCTGAGTGCAGCTGTCAACTTTGCAAAGCACTCCCTTAACAATAGTAACATGCACAATAGTCATTTAATAAATACCATCTGCCAATTACTATTATTTTTCGTTAGAGCCTCACTTATTCTTCACAATAACCCTATAGATATTTTTACCCCCTCCTTTTTGTAGCTGCAGAAACCGAGGCTCAGAGAGGTTAATTAACTTCCCTAAGGTCACAAAGCTACCAAATGGCAAACTCCACTTTGTCACCCGCAGCTGACCTTCCTGAGCCTGCTGGACATTTCCATATCCACTATCTTCTCACTACCTCATGGTCAATCCGGCTGACCCTTGAACAATGCAGGGTTAAGCGTGCCAAGTCCCTCACAGTCAAAAACCCACATAAAACTTCTGACTCCCCAAAAACATTTGTCTTGAGTAAGATCCAGTGAGGAGCCCAAGACCCAATCCCAAAGAGAAAGACGGCCTGGCTGCCACGCCCACCAGCTGCGCTAACCACCGACCAGCCTGCACCATCAGCAGTGACCTAAAGAATTAAGGGCCATTCAAAAAATAACACAAAAGGCAGACCACAACCTTCCCAACACAAAGAGGCATCCAGGCAAAAAGGTGGAAGACTAATAACCAAGATGTGGACATTGATGTATTTACTGTTATCCTTTACGAAAGACACACAAAAGGAGAATTCAGCCAATGTTTCTAGCCATTTTTCCGAGAAAACCTGCACAGAAGACAAAAGAGCAGCCTCCCTAGTTTCAGCAACCATTAGATTTACATTTACAGTTTCGGTAATATGAATGGAAAGAAATAGTGCTCTGGCCAATTTGGCTCTTTCGTTAGAACGTCAGCACTTGGACTCAGGATCATGGGTTCAATTCTGGTCAAGAGTGCATACCTCGGCCGGGACCGGTTTGGCTCAGTGGATAGAGCGTCGGCCTGCGGGCTGAAAGGTCCCAGGTTCGATTCTGGGCAAGGGCATGTACCTTGGTTGTGGGCACATCTCCAGTGGGGGGTGTGCAAAAGGCAGCTGATCGATGATTCTCTCTCATCGATGTTTCTAACTCTCTATCCCTCTCTCTTCCTCTCTGTGAAAATCCAATAAAAAACATAAAAAAAATAAAAAAGAGTGCATACCTCGATTACAAGCCCCTCACTAGCCCCGGTCCAGGTGTGTGCAGGAGGCAACCAACTGATGTTTCTTTCTGTCTCTCCCTATCCCTTCCACTTTCTCTCTAAAACAAACAAACAAACAAACAAAACACACACACACACACTGGAAAAAATACCCTGGGATGAGGATTAACAAAAAAACATCAAAAATACTACATGGGAGAACTCCGACCAAAGAAATTGATGCTTTTTTTTCTGCCCAACCGGTGCGGCTCCTTTTTGCTCACTTTGGATGCTGGTGCTAAATTCCCAAGTGTTGTAATTTAAAAAGAAATTTTACGGTCCTATTTCTTTCTAGGATGAGGGGAGGATAACAGTTTTGTTATGTTACTCTCTGAAAATGTAGAGCATGAAATTCTTCAAAAATAAAATTTCTACCCTTGGGGGGAAAAAAAAATTCAGTGTCCCTTGTTAGCTGTGGGGACTGGTTCCAGGACCCCCCACAAATACCAAAGTCTGCAGGTAAGTTCCCTATATAAAATGGTATAAATCAGCGCACACAGTAAGCTGCCCACATCCGTGGAATCCCAACAGAGGGTCGAAAACAGTATAGGTCTGGCTCGTGTGGCTCAGTTGGTTGAGCATTGTCAGGGGCACTGACAGGTTGCCAGTTCCATTCCCGGTCAGGGCACATGCCCAGGTTTCAGGTTCGATTCCCAGTAGGGGGCATGCAGAAGGCAGCCAATCAATGATTCCACCGATGTTTCTAGCTCGCGCTCTCCCTTCCTCTCTGAAATCAATACAAATATATTTTTAAAAAGCAAAGGTACTTATTGAAAACCATCCATGTGTAAGTGGACTCGCACAAACCCATGTTGTTACAGAGTCAGTTGTCTATGTTCAATGAAATCATGGGCACCTCCCCCGCAGACGTGTTTGCTTATGCCTCCTCCTTCCCAGTCACTCCAGCTACAAACCTCAGGGGCACGTCTGACTGTTTCTGTGCTCCCCGCTACAACTCCATGTCCACAATTATCATCCTAGTCTAGGGCCTTTTAATATATATATATATATATATATATATATATATATATATATGTATGTATATATACACACACACACACACACACACACACACACGTAAATTTTTATTTATTGATAGAGTAAGTATTGAGAGGAGAGAGAGAAACATTGATGTGAGAGCAGAACATTGATCGGCTGCCTCCAGCACAGCCCCTACCAGGGACCGAGTCCAAAACTGGGGCATGTGCCCTGACGGTGAATCCAACTGGCAACCTTTCAATGCACAGGAAGATACCCAACCAACTGAGCCACACAGGGCAGAGCTAGTCTAGGGCCTTTATCACTGCCACCCTGGAGCGCTACAAAGACTCATTTCAACAAATCTCTAAATGATGTGTCAGGGTCAAGCACAACGATGGACAAGGACCCAGTCCATACCTCATGAACTTTGAGTCTAGCCACTTTCCTCTAGGTCTCCCTCCCCACACTTTTCTCTCCTTCACCACACTCCATCCTGCATCACTCTACCACTTGTTACTCTCCTAAAAAAAAAAAAAAAAAACCCTCAATTATTGCCCTAATGCCTATAGGCCAGTGGTTCTCAACCTTCCTAATGCCGTAACCCTTTAATACAGTTCCTTATGTTGTGGTGACCCCCAACCTTAAAATTATTTTCGTTGCTACTTCATAACTGTAATTTTGCTACTGTTATGAATCGTAATGTAAATATCTGATATGAAGGATGTCTTAGGTGACCCCTGTGAAAGGGTCATTCGATCCCCAAAGGGGTTGCGACCCACAGGTTGAGAACCGCTCCTGTAGGCAAAAAGCCCAAACCCCCTACCCGACCCCAATCTGAAATGACATTCCTCTTCCTCTTTGTTCACCCCCATTCTCTCAGTCCTTCAGGATACAGCTCCAGTCCCCCATTCTCTTGTGGTTTTCCCCAAACAAACAAAAAGCTTTCTCTTTCTTTCTACTGTAATTCACATTTGCACTCTCGATATTCACCTGTCATTCTCAATGAGATTTCAACTCATCTGCAGGTGTGGCCAATCTCTGAACCTGCACACAGGAGGGGCCCTGTCCATTCTCAAATCCTCGAAAGGCTTAAAAAAAACACCAATAAGCCAGTGCTAGACTTCTTTCCCCTCTGTCCACTGCTGTCTAGAGTCACACAGGCCACAACGGCCCTTCTGTTTTCAAACCTCAAGCCAGCCCTGGCCGGTGTGGCCCAGTTGGTGGAGCGTCCTCCAGTGCACTGAGAGGTCGCCAGTTCCCTTCCCCGTCAGGGCACATGCTTGGGTTGTGGGCTGGATCCCCAGTAGGGGGCGTGCAGGAGGCAGCCGATAGATGTTTTTCTCCCTTCCTCTCTCTCAAATAAATAAAAACATCTTTAAAAAAAACACAACGCAAACCAGCTCCTGCCAGACCATTGCACTTGATGTTTGCCAGATATTCTGTGACATAAATACTAGAACCCTGATGCACACAATTTGTGCACACTAAGGGAGTGTCCCTCAGCCCAATCTGCACCCTCTCCCCGTCTGGGAGCCCTTGGGGGATGTCCAACTGACAGCTGGCAGTCAGACATCCTTAGAGCTGCCATGAAGGCAGGCCAGGAGAGGCGTGAGCTTGGCTCAGGCCTTTTGGCTGAGAGGTGCTCCCCCTGTGGGAGTGCACTGACCACCAAGGGGCAGCTCCTGCATTCAGCGTCTGCCCCCTGGTGGTCAGTGCACATCATAGCAACCAGTTGTTCCACTGCTTAGTCAATTTGCATATTAGTCTTTTATTATCTATATATATAAAAGCCTAATGTGCAAATTGTCCCCTCAGGAGTTCAACCGGGATTGGGGCGGAACAGCTGGAAGGCGCTGAGCAGCAGATCTAGGGATCCTACCCGTGCATGAATTTCGTGCACTGGGCCTCTAGTATGGGAGAAGAATGTTACTTTCCAGAGAACAACACTATCTCCACTGCCTGGTACATGACAGCTGCTCAGTAACAATATATTGAAAGGATGATTATTTTAAAGTGAACGAATGAACGATGAAGGAGGCCAACCATTTTATAACGTCCAGGCCCCGACCCACAGTACCGATTCTCTGATCCAACTTCCAGGGTCTAGGGAGCGTGGCTGGGGTTCACCGAAAGAGACGGGGTCAAGGTCAGGCCCACAGGCTCCTCTCCTCCCGGGCGCCCGGTCTCGGCCGAGGACCCCCTGCCACCCAAACCCTCCGCCGCCCAGGGGCGCCCTCGCTCGGCCTCACCTCCCACGCAGGCCAGCGCCGCCTTGAAGGCGCAGCTTTCCATCGCCTTCTCTATCATCTTCTGCTCCTCACTCTTGGCCGGACTCGGGATCCCGCCCAGCATGCCGGGCTCCAGAAGCCGGGGCTGCCGCTTGTCACCCACCAGGTGCTGCAGGAGAAGGCTGTACTGCAGCGGGGCTTCGGCCGAGCCCGCCGCCTGCGGCGCCGAGCCGCCGGCACCGGGGGCCGCCGCCGCCGCCATGGCTGCAGTCGCCCAAGAGACGCTGGCGTCGTTCTCCCCGCAGCAGATTCCACAAACTTCACGTCCCGGGCCTGACGCGCCTACGCACTGTGCCGCGACGGCAGATTCGCCACCCGAGCAAGTCCGCGGAAGCTGCGGAACTCAGGTCCGTTCGTGCGCGCCTGGCAGGAGAACTATCATGTCCCCCCCAGAGCCTCTGGTGAATACCGAGTCAGGTTTGTACAGCATTCCCAACGGCACTGACGAACAAGAGTCAGATTCACCACAGCGCCCTCATCACCGCGGTGCCTCCCGGGATTTGTAGTTTTCACACGTACACTTAAGACATTTCCCAGGAAGCCTTGCGCTGGCACGCGTCTCCCCAGGTCCTGGGAAGCTCTTGACCCGCGCGGACACAGGGGTAGCGAGCAGGCAAAGCTGCGGTGCGCCGGGACGCCGGCAGGAGGCGCCTCGCCACTGACCTTGCAGTCTATTCCTTGCAGGTGTGAGATGGGATGGAAAGTGCTGAGAATGGTATGAATGTATGGAGTAACTGTTTTGTTCAATAATTAAACCTTCGATGAGAGATGGGGGTATAACAAATCATTGAACGAGGGAATGAAGCTAACCAAGCGTAGGAAAAATCAGGGACTGTGATAGGAAGTGGAGGGACTATGTCTGGATGGAGAGCTGGTTGTCGTCAGTGAAATTAGTGATGTGGGACTAAAATTGCCATGAAAAGCCAAATTTACCTTACGTTGAACCAGTTAAAGTGTTTACCAGCTTGCACACACAGGACCTGAGGTAAACTGAGAGATTCATATTATACCTAATATATGAACCCAGAAAAAAAAAAAAAAAAAAACTTCTGTAGTTTTTATGGTACTCAAATAGATCACAAATTATTGTGTTGATCCAGACTAGCATGCATTTGGACAAATCCACTAAGATAGTGGTTGGCAAACTCATTAGTCAACAGAGCCAAATGTCAACAGTACAACGATTGAAATTTCTTTTGAGAGCCGAAAATCGACTTCTGCACATGGGCCATGAAGTTTCAATCGCACTGTACCAGTGCGCCCGCACGTGGTATTTTGTGGAAAAGCCACACTCATGGGGCCAAAGAGCCACATGTGGCTCACGAGCCGCAGTTTCCCGACCACTGCACTAAGAGAAACATAAATGGAAACAGAAGGCAGAGAGGATAGCCAGTCAACATAGGCAGCATCTCTGTACTTCAGAGCATAGCATACGATTCACCTTGCTTTGGTTCCAACCAGGCCACTGAGAGAGCTAGTCCTAAGGTCCCCAGCAAGAGGACATTTATTGGCATGAAGCGACAGATGAGACAGAGCGTGGCATTTCTAACTGCAGAAGACTGAAGCAAAACAGAAGGTGTGGAGCCTCGAGCTGTAGGGTCTTGGGGTTTAATGGCCAGCAATTTGCCTAAGAGCAACCACCGGATTTGGACCAGCTCCCCACATGCAGCTCTGAGGAACTGCAGGTTGCGCCCCTCTGCCTCCAGGACAGGTCATTTGCCAGAAAAACCTATCCATATTCACGGAGGAGGAGGGCCTGGGCTAGGTAGGGGGCTGGGCTTGCTGGACCAAGAAAGGCTTAGTCCATGCAGATGCTCAATGCCAGCCGTTTGCATGGTGGTTCTCAATCTCCAGCGGGCGCCAGAAGCACCTGAACAGATTGTTCAGCTCTTGATTGCTGGGCTCAGGGTTTCTGATTCTGGAAGGCGGGGGATGGACATGAAAATATGCGTATCCCAGGGGATGCGGATGCTGCTGGCTGGGGACCACATTTCGGGAACTGCTAGTCTACATCATTGTCTGCAATGACCTCTCACTGAAAGTAGATGCACGCTACTCGGAGCCCCACTGAGACGGGGCACCACTGTTCGGCTCACTGATGCCTGGAGTGCATCACGGAGGGTCCCTCCGCGGGGTAGCAGTGGGCCAGAGAAGGTGGCACGTTGCCAATTTTCATCTCTAATCCCAAAGTAAGTTTCACTTGCTCAAAAGGCTGGTGTTCAAGAGTTTGGGCCAATTTTTTTTTTAAATATGTTTTCATTGATTTCAGGGAGAGGAAGGGCAGAGGGAGAGAGGGATAGAAACATGAATGATGAGAAAGAATCATAGATCAGCAGCCTCCTGCATGCTCCCCACTGGGGATCGAGCCCACAATCTGGGCTTGAGCCCTGACTGGGAGTTGAACCGTGACCTCCTGGTTCATAGGTTGCCACTCAACCACCAAGTCACACCAGCCAGGCGGTTTTGGCCAATTTGTTGGGAGGGAAGGGGGGAAGCCATTGATCACTACCGGTCTTTTTTATTTATTTATTTATTTTTAATATATTTTATTGATTTTTTTACAGAATGAAAGGGAGAGGGATAGAGAGCTAGAAACATTGACCAGCTGCCTCCTGCACAACCCCCACTGAAGATGTGCCCGCAACCCATGTACATGCCCTTGACCAGAATCGAACCCAGGACCTTCCAGTCCGCAGACCGATGCTCTATCCACTGAGCCAAACCGGTTTCGGCTTTTTTTTTTTTTTAATACCGTATATCTTATGGATTTTTTACAGGGAGGAAGAGAGAGATATAGAGAGATAGAAACATCGATGAGAGAGAAACATCTACCAGCTGCTTCCTGCACCACCTCCACTGGGGATATGCCTGCAACCAAGGTACATGCCCTTGACCAAAATCGAATCCAGCACCCTTCAGTCCACAGGCTGACTGACGCTCTATCCACTGAGCCAAACAGGTTTCGGCCCTACCGGTCTTTTGTTTACCTCTGAAGAAAGGAGCTCAGCTGCACAGATCCGGCAGCAGCACATGGCGTGTCCTGCCAGGTGAGGCCGAAATTGGAGCTTGATTGGTGAGGAGGCCTCGGGGAGTGTCTGCCCAGGGGAAGACCTGGATGGAGCCCAAAACCAGAAACGATCCCTTTCCCACCCGCCACCTGCCGGGACATAGAGCTTTCTGAGTCTGCTAGCACGTTCACAGCTGAAGGAGAGCAGTGCTCTGGATTGACAATGAACTTTTCTAGGAGTGGAGCAGCCGGAGTGCAGCTTTGCTGGCACATGGAACAGGCAGGGTGAGTGGAGGTCTGTATTTTTTTGTTATAACTTCTTTTTTTTTTTTTTTTTTCCCACATGAAAGCATTCATGATTGAAGTTTTTTGTTTTGTTTTGTTTTAATTTCATGTACAAAGAGCTAGCATTGTCTCTGCAGTAAGGTAGATATGTCTTGAATGACCCATGTAAGGAAGTTCACTTGCTCCAACTTAGGAAGCCCGTATCCTTCCTATCCTGACACAAACACTGGCAGCCCATATCGAGGCCATATTTCCGGCTCAGACCTGCCCGTGTGAGCCGATGCAGCAAGAACAAGAGCCCTGGCCAGATTCTCTCCGACGGCTCCAGCAGAGCTGCTGGGCAGCCATCTTGCTCTCTCAGGTGCCACGAGGCAAAAGCTTGTTAGAACCTGTTCAGCTAGCCACACTGAGCCGCCTGCCCCCCGAGAGGGAGCCGTTCACTTGCCGGGAACACTGGCAGGCAGGCCTCTGGCCAGACAGCAGAATGAGAACCTGCCTGGGCATTGCTGCCTCAGATGGACAAGAAGCGTTTGTAGGACTGAGAGTAGGACCGGACTCAGCATGCTGAACCCAACCTGGGCTTTAGGGGGAGCCCCCATCCCCCCCAGGAGAAGGCACTGTGGTTCAGGGCGGGCTCTCTGAGGTCTCGGGGGCGGCACCAGCATGAGGGGCAGCAGGGACCCCTCTGGGCTGTGAATTGGGAGGAAAAGGACTGAGGGTCATGCCCCAGTAGGAGGCCTCAGAAAGCAAGGAACAGCCTGAGCACATCAGGGGAGCAGATAGAAAAAAAGGCAGATCTCCAGGTCAGTCCGCACACTGAGGTCAGGGGAGCAGATCTGAGAGGCAGACTAGAGGGCTCCCTAAGGGGATGTGGCTCTTACTGCGCTCCCACAGGCAGAAGCTGTTCTGGGATTCCCGAGTTTGGGTGGACCGAAATTAGACTTTATTTTCCTCCTCAAACATGCTCTTCCTGAGTTTCCCATCTGGGTGAATGGTGCATCCATGCTCTGTTAGACTTAGATGCCCTGCTCCTGCATCCCTCCCATGCCTTCTAAAGAGCTTTCAAATCCTCCCCCCTTCCTTTGTATACTCATTGCCATGGCCGTATCTGGGCTCTAATCACTTTTCGTTCAATAGGATCAGTTGCTCTTCATGCCTCCTACCTTGCTCTTCTCCAAACCACCCACAGAGCGACCTCTCAGCACAGAAACGTGATTATGTCCCTGCTCAGAATTCTCCTCCGTGCCAGGACAGAATCTAAACTCAGTGTGTTGCTTTTATAATATGTGCCCAGAGTTTCAGTCCAAGTTTAGTTCCATTCCCAGTTATCTCTTTTGGATCTAGAAGTGATGGCTCAGAATCATTCCTTTAAAAAAAAAATACACATACACACACACACACACACACACACACACATATATATATATGTATGTATATGTATATATATATATATATATATATATATATATATATATTACTGATTTCAGAGAGGGAGGGAGGGAGAGAGAGAGAGAGAGAGAGAGAGAGAGAGAGAGAGAGAGAGAGAGAGAGAGAGAGACATCAATGATGAGAGAGAATCATCGACTGGCTGCCTCATGCATGCCCCCTTCTGGGGATCGAGCCCACAACTTGAGCATGTGACCTCAACCGGAATCAAACCCAGGACCTTTCAGTCCTCAGGCTGACACTCTATCCAATGAGCCAAGCCAGCTAAGGCGCTCGGAATCATGCTTAATAACCTGTGCTCTTTCGTGTTTGGGGGATGAGTTTGGACTTTCTGACTTCATGTCATTTCTTTGACTTATGTCCTGTCCTCAAGCGAGGGTAAATTCTTAGAAAATATTAATTATTATGATTAATTCTTCATTCTTTTTGCCTCTTACCGGTGATAGCCAAGGTGAGAGCAAAAGTGTCCTGTGCTGTTTCCAGTGACAGAGCCTGAGACTCCAGCCTGATTATTGTGGGCGGTCTTTGTGTTCTGGAGATTTCTCCCTCAGCATCGATGTCTGGGAGTTTTGTTTACTCGCCCCTACCCCACAATCCAGATCTGCTTGCTATCCCTTGTGCTGTCGCATT